CGACAACAACAAAATCTAGCTTTATGGATTGCCTCCTTGCGCCTGTAATCCCAGCACTTTGGGAGGCCGAGGTGGGTGGCTCGCTTGAACTCTGGAGTTCGACACCAGTCTGGGCAACACGGCAAAACTCCATCTCTACCAAAAAATACAAAAATTATCTAGGTGTGGTGGCAGGCACCTGTAGTCCCAGCTACTCAGGGGACTGAGGCAGCAAGATAGCTTGAGCCTAGGAGGTCAAGGCTGCAGTGAGCCACGTCCACACCACTGCACTCCAGCCTGGGTGACAAAGCAAGGATTTGTCAAAAAAAATTAAAAAAAAAGAACAAAACAAAAAAGGATTGCTACCCGGAGAAACCTTCCAGGTGCTTCTCTTGGATGCAATCAACTACTCTCGACCCCCAAGTGCCTGTGGTTGTCCCAATTACAGCCCTTGTTATTCTGCTTGGCTGGCTTTGCCTTGTTCTTACTCTCTCTTATCTCCTTATCCCTAGTGCTTTGTTCAGGGACCAGCACATAGGAGGTATGTCTATTGAATAAATGAAGTCAGTGAATGAATACATGGATGACTGAGGACCAGTATTACCTGCAGAACTCTAGACTTTAACAAACCTTCATAGTCATGTATCAGCCCATGTCTATTCAGACAAAGCCAATTCATGGAGACAAGATGGTTCTCCAAAGCCCAAGACTCCATGGTAAAATTTGAAATCTGGCAATCTCAGAGTCACAAAGACTTGTTTCAAACATTTCTCTGTTCCTAATCCAAACTCCTTGCTATTTCTTGGATTAATTAATCTTTACACATTTACTTGAAAGCACAATTACCTTGGGCTATATATTAGTCCATTCTCACACCTGCTGTAAAGATACTACCCGACATTGGGTAATTTATAAAGAAAAGAGGTTTAATTGACTCACTGTTCTACATGGGTGAGTAGGCCTCAGGAAACTACAGTCATGGCAGAATGTGAAGGGGAAGCATGAACCCTCTTCACATGGCGGTAGGAGAGAGATGTGCAAGCCGGGGAAATGCCAGACAGTTGTAAAACCATCAGATCTCATGAAAACTCACTATCACCAGAACAGCATGAGAGAAACCCACCCCTGTGATCCAATCACCTCCCTCCCTCCACACGTGGGGATTACAATTCGAGATGAGATCTGGCTAAGGACACAGAGCCAAACCGTATCAGGCTGTAATGGATTACAACTGAGAAAGTTCCAATTTGTCCTCACCTACGGTTTAAAAACATCAGCCACCCCCGCAGCCAGGTTCCACTGGTACTACATGTTTTTTCTGGTTTGTTTCTTATTGGTAGAGACCTGATGGTTCAACTACAGGTCAGCAAGGGGGTGAGGGGTGCATTGGAGGAGGACCATGATCATCCCTAAATATTTAGCTCATTTCCTTCACTGATTTTAGGGGCACAGGACAGCCCTCTTGTATCCCAAGCATTCATTTCCTAACTCTTCTCATTCCTGTAATAGGAGGACAAAACTTCCATTCCAAGACAGAGGATAGAGTGGGTCCTGCAGACTCATCCCAGGGAAAAGGACATGGGCTAACAGCCATACCAAGGAGTAACTGGGAGATGCCCTTCCCAGAGCAGTAAGGAGGCCAGCAGAGTCCTGGGAGCAGCAGGAGGCACAGCTGTCCTACAGAAACTGTAAGGAGACCAGGAAGATTTAAGTCTACCTTGGATGCCCTCCCAGCTTTGTCCAGAGCTTGCCTGGCTTTTGCACTGAATGCAGGCTATTTAAAGCTGGAATTGTTGAGTTTGGATTTCTATCAGGGATTTCTATCTGGTTCCCTCTCCTCTAACATTCTACTGCGAGGAACAAGACCGAGAGGCCCGATTAGGGACACAGAGCTGGGAACAGCACAAATGCAAAAGAAGACTGGCAAAGGGGGAAAGGGTGGTTTTGTTTCGGGAAACCTGCTGACATAGGAAATGCTTCTGTTTTTCTGCAGAAATGCTGCCTTCAGTGGACAAAATTCAGCCACAATCAAGCTAATTGAATGCACAAATGTAATATTTTTCCAGGGCACCTCCAATTTAATGCTTGATGAAATTGTGTCTTTCGCATATATTTACAAAACCTTTTCTTCATCCAGAAATGTCTGTTAAAATTGCTTGTAGATGCTGAGATAGCAAATCACTCTTCTAATGTAATGAGAGAAGTCATCTCTATAAACTTTGCTTGTTCAAATGTACTCACATAAACGAAATCAGGCTACAAGCTTTTTTCAATAAATAGAATGAACAACTAGAACTTGATGGCTATAGCATGTTCTGCCTCATTGCTAAGGGATGTTTAAAATTGCTCGCACTCTCTCCTCTCTCTCACAGCCGAGTTTTCATTTTGGTAGTTGATGGAAAAAGGAGGTCAAATAAACTGATGTGGATAAGAAGCCAAAGCCGTTTGTCAAAACACAGAAAGAGGACTGGAGACGGGAGTCATTTAAAGACTAAAAACTGATTTAAAAGATTTCTGTCCTCAAACCATTTGTCTTGCTAAATGTAGCCATTTTGTGAGCCTGGTTTTCCCTGCCTTAGCTATCTTTACTAATAGTTTATACCATGGGAACTTCACATACTGGGGAAGATTCGTATATGCAGCCATTTGTGCATAGCCCAGTAAAACTGGTCTGAGAATCAAGAGTCCATGGAAAAGTCAAGACCTTTCTGCGTTCACTCATTTGTTTCTAAATAAGATTTGCCTTCTAACTTTTCAATCTGAAAGACAACTCTGTAGCAAAAGGCTGAATAGATCATCTCACACACACCTAGGTCACAATATAGGGCTGTCGAGTATGGCTGCACAGGTTGTGCACTGCACAACACCAAGGGAGATACCATTCACATAGACTAGAACAGGATGAGTGTTCTCTGGGGTTGTGCAACATGATGGGCCCTGCCCAAGGCAGGGAGAAAAAAATCATGTTCTCAATCACAGTGTTATAGTGCAATAAGTTTTCATAGCTACATTGCATCAATTACCTTTTATTCCTCAAAGAATAAAATCAAAGTTCTTGTTACCAGCTCACAGCCTGCCAGGTACCCTTTTCCTTCTCTTTGCAAAGTAAAATTTCTGGGGAGAATAGTCAAACCTCCAGATGGTTCTCTTTATTCAAGAAACAGTTTGAACAGCTTGACTGAGGAGGACAGGCTGAAATCCAGAAGAAAATGGGACCAAATTCCAAGTGCCCTGGTTGTAAGTTTTGAAAACACTGGACTGCCATTGCTTTGTATAGAGGAAAGACAGTAGACGGTGTTTGAAACAGTTCTCCAAGCACCTTTCCTATGTTGGCCTGCTCTTTGGGCTTTCCCACATACCTGCTGGCCACACCAGTGGCCAGACTGTCCTGGGCACAGTGGGAGCATAAGTTTCCCCACATTCACCCCATGGCCTTGTCTTCTCCACACCACTGCTTCCTTTGCAGCCTGAAACACACGTATGATTGAGAGGTAATAATGCCTAAATGTTTACTGATCTGAAACATTGCTCCTGACAGCCTCTGTCCAGCCCTATCAATTCTGAGTTCAATATAATTTAGGGTTAATGAGAAAGGTCCTGCTTCTTAGGCAGTTCCTTCAACTCTGCCCCAAGCACACAGAACAGTATATTTTGAGATCTGAGGCATCCATTCTAATATGTATAGGCAGGACACATTTGATAAAATACCTGATTTTTGCATAACCTGCTTTTTAAGGAATATCTCAGGGGCTTTATAGGTACGTTATGGGCCACTAGTGACCCAAGAGCCACGCTCCATCCAAATTTCCATCTAAAGTGTGCCGAAGGGCCAAAATAGCAAGCCAGTCAGCTCACGGCTCTATTTGGTCAATGCCATGTTATTGCAACTGTTGTTTGAACTGAATTTGAATGCCTCCAGCAAGGCAGGCATTCCCCATTTTCCCCCGACTCCCCACTTCTGTCCAACCTGCCCATTTCATACATTCATTTCCATTACCTACCTAGTCCCTGCAGATGACTGAGTGGGCCCTGCATCAGCCAGGTGCCAAAAATGAGTAGTTGACACACCCTCCACTGAGGAGAAGGGTTAGGGGGACTCGTCAACTTCCCCTCACTCCCAGCCCTACACCCTGCTTAGGGGAAGCACTTGTATAAAAAGGAATCTGCAGAACCCAGGACTGGCAGCCTGGGGACAGTACCTCCACATTTATGAACACAGATAGATATATACACATATATACATGCATATGCAGTCTATCCATGAAAATATACTGGAAACCAGGCGACTCCAGGGAAAGCCACTGGCTGGTGCGGGGGAGACAGAACTTTCACCGAACAGAAAACTGTCTCTGAACTTTTTGACATGTGTACCATTGTATGAGTGACCTGTCATTCATTCCCAGACCCCTAAAAACCTGCCTGGAGTGCTTTCTCCCCGCTGTAAAACCTCACCTTAGATTTTAGGGTACAGCTCATATGATTCATTTTCTCTGTCATCTTTCTCAATCCTCCCAGTCAAAAGAAATCCCTTCTCCGTGCTCCCCGTCGGCTTGTGTCGGATCTCCTTTGCCTGCCCCACCCTGCCCCACTGCTCTCCCCAGTTCGTGGCTGCCAGTTGTGATGCTTGTTTTCACCCAATTAACCTGTAAAAAGATAAGCAGATGAGGTGTCCCCCTCTGGGATCCTTTTTCTCCCCCATAGGTCCTCTCATGCCCTGGGCACACACTGCTGCCCAACAGATCTTTCTATCATAATGGAAATGTTCCCTACCTGTGCTGTCCAGATACACTAGCTGCTGACCACATGTGAACCCTGAGCATTCGAAATGTGGGTTGTGTGACTCAGCAACTGAATTTTTTATTTCATTTAAATTTAACTTAAATAGTGACACCTGGATAGGGGCAACCATGTTGTATAGCTTAGTCCTACAGCTTTCTTCCTCGAGGGACAGCCTCACCAGCTGAACACCAAGCACGTTTAATTTTCAAACAATGAAAGCAGGGCCACAAAGGACGTGTTTCAAAGTACAAATTCAGTTTATTCATCTGTTTATGACACAGTACACAGGAGGCAAAGTGTTTCACATCATAGACTTCACTTCCAGCTCCTTGGAATGTTCATTTCTTTGGCTTACAGGAGAGACTAGACAGGAAGGCCAGGCAATGCTTAGGCAACTAAAATGAGGTTGGGGGCAATGCTAATGTCACCCTCACAGGGACTGTTAGTCACAAGCTGGTTTTCTAGACCTGTTAGCTGGAAGCATGGCGAGCACCATTTCTGGACGCTCAGGCTGTGTCGGGCTTCAGTCGTCTCCACCACACAGGTACAGCAGCGCTTTCTGGTAGTCGCCCTTAGTGTCTTGCTACAAATGGCCCAGGAGAAAAAAGAAATGCGGTATGAGAAAAAAGCCCAGACTCCTCAGTAACACAGAAGTAGCCTCAACGCCCAACGAAGCCTCTCCCATGACAAAGAGAAGACTCTTCAGCAGACCTGCCCTGACACAAAGGCCTGGAAGGCCACACCCAAACCACTGCCAGGGAAGCCTCTGGGAGTGTGGTCGGAGGAGGTGCTGCGGAAGACATTCAAGTCTCCTTAGGACTGTGGGGTGGAGGGAGTGCAAGGTACTGAGGCTTGACCTGGGTTCGTGACCAGGGCTGTTCTTACTGCAGCAAGGTCCTACAAACACCCCAACTTTCCTCTCTCGTCCTCGCCTTTCCACAGAGAACAGGGTACTGCCCTAGCTCACTCTGCTATTTCCTGCATTATTAAGGTCAAGTGGAAAGAAGCTGATGAGGTGAGGAACAATTCCTAAGAGTCTAACTGGTCCTTTGACTTTAAACACGTGCCCTAACAAACCTGGCTATAAAAAACCCAGCTCTAACTTCATCCTTGGTAACCATGGACATGGCTTTGGACATCTGAGGAACTTTTAGAAAGCAGAATGGCCATGGCTGTCTGAAATCCACACAGTGGTACCACTGTGAATGCGATCACTTCCTTACACGCAAATGTGACATCACGCCAAAACAGACAGAGGCTAAATTGATTGGAGAGATGGGAGTTCTGAGTAACTGAAAGTTGTCAGGCCCATCCCAGAGGATTTTTCAAGGAATAAATGCATAATAAAAGAAAAATGTAATTGATCTTCCAAGTCTCTCTGGGATGTCAGCAAGCCTTGCAGGACCATCATCATGAACACCAATGATCATTGTAGAGTAACAGATGTGAAAAATATAAAACATCTGCCTGATTCTACAAAGTCCAGGACAAATCACAAATGTGCTTTCAAAATAAATCCCTGATAGTTGATGACCAGTATCTCTTCCCCAGAGAGTTAGAAAACAGAAAATCACCACCGTGTCATCATTCTGCCAGGCCACCTGCCGGGGCCCGGGAGGCTCTGGCCGGCAGGGCAGGCTGACGCCGCACCTCGGACTTACCTGGATGTAATAGTACAGGGACTTGCCGTACTTTCTCTTGAATTCAGACCTAATTTTCAACATATCCACTTCACTGCGGGAGACCATGATTCTGATCAGGACCTTATCTCGAGTCCCCTTGCCCTGAAAATCAAGTTCATATTCCAAGTTACAGTCGCTGAGAATGTTATCATTAAAGAAACAGTCTACAGCCTGAGCATTCCTGATCTGAAAATCTGAAATCTAAAATGCTCCAACTCCAAAATTTTTTCAGTGCCGACATGATGCCACAATGAAAAATTCCACATATAGACACTTAACACAAACTGTTTCATGCATAAAATTATCAAAAGCATTGTATAAAATTACCTTTAGGGTACGCATGTAAGGTCTATATAAAACATAAATGAATCTCAAGTTTAGACTTGGGTCCCATCCCTAAAATATTTCATTATATATATGTAAATATTCCAAAATCAAAAATAAATCTGAAATCCAAAACATTCCTGGCCAAGCATTTTGGATAAGGGATATTAGGGCACAGTGTACACTGCCTGGGTGATAAGTACACCAAAATCTCAAAAAGCACCACTAAAGAACTTATTCATGTAACTGAATACCACTTGTTCCCCAAAAACCTATGTAAAAAAGACAGAGAGAGAAAGAAAGAAAAAGAGAAAGAAGGAAGGAAGGGAGGAAGGGAGGAAGGGAGGAAGGGAGGGAGGGAGGGAGGGGAAGGCAGGGAGGAAAGGAGGGAGGAAGGAAGGAAGGAGAGGGAGAGATGGAGGGAGGGAGGAAGGAAGGAGAGGGAGAGAGTGGGGGAAGGCAGGGAGGAAGGAAGGAAGGAAGGAGAGGGAGGGAGGGAGGAAGGAGAGGAGAGGAGAGGGAAAGGCAGGGAGGAAGGGAGGAAGGAATGGAGGAAAAAAGAAAGAAAAAAAAGACAAGAAAAGAAAGAAGAGCATCTGGGAATTCCAAACACACCAGGCTGTAGTCAGCACAGACTCCCACTCTATGCCATCATTCAATAAATATATACTGAGCACCTACTACTACAAGGCTTAGTTCAAGCAGTCTTGTCTCCATATGTAACAAGAGGTTCCTGACTCCTGCAGGCTTAGAGGGGACATGCCAACACATTTCTATCATCGCTCTGTGCCATTCTGAATGATATGTGCAATAAAGACCACTGAGTTTACTTCCAGAGCATCAGACCAAAGGCACCAAGGGGTGCTATTTGATACGGAACTCAAAGACAGATGGCAGAGGCCGCACAGACAAGGGAGATGTACCAGAAGGAAAATGCCAAAGCCTAGAAGCCAGAAAACACATGGCACATTTGAGGTGTAGAAAATGGGGTGGGTCTACGGGAAGAGGTGGTTTGTTTAGGGGAGAGTTGTGGGGCTGTGTTTGGGGACTGATAGACCCAGGTTCAAATCTTGCTGTGCAACTTCAAGCAGGCTGAGGTATTCTGAGCTCCGTCTCCGCATTTATAAAGAAGATAATCGTATCAGCCTCAGAGGTGGTTTTGCAATGATTTAAGGTAAGGTGGTAGCACATGTCTACTGTATAGTGGGTGCTTAATAATCACTCCCTTCCTCGCTTGTCTTGACTCTGGGGGTAGCAGGAAGAAATCACTGAGAAACCCGAGTAGGGATCAGACATGACTACCATGTTGCATTTTCTCTCTCCCATGGCGCTTTACTTTCTGCCTGTACACCAACACATGTTCAAGCAGCTCAGAGAGAGAAGACGGATTTGTGGTGCTCTCACCTGTCAAACACAACCACAGCTGACTAGTGTGTTCCTGTATCCAGACAGTGGGGTCCCCTTCCTCCATCCATGAGTCAAGGAGACTCAATCTGGGGCCCAAAAGAAGAAAAGCTGAGTGTGGAAACACAGCTCTCTCAGCCAGCTGCCCTTACCTTCATGGAGTCATACAGCCGGTCAGCAAAATACAGGGGTTTGTTCTGAATGCACTGGACTGTGGAGAGAAGAAAGGGAGTCAGGGCTGCAGCTGCTCTGGTCTCTTCTCTACCAGTGAGAGAGGATGCCCTGACCCTGGGCCACAAACCAGAAGGGACCTGATGCAATGGAAACCGGCTGCAAAATGGAACAGCCTAAGGGAAATGTAGAAATCCTCTACAATACTAAGTTCCACCACAGTTTTAAACCAGGGGACTCTGAGACCTGCAGAACCCAAGTGCATATGTCAGTTTCCACAACATACCCCTCTCTTCTGTTTTCTTACTCCTCCCTGGCAACAATCTGTTACCAATTTAGGCCTTTCTTCAGTTTCATATTCTTAAATCTATACAATTAAGACTGTAAAACTATCCAAAGCATGCATAGAAGCCACACCTCCCAAACACACTTGGATTAAGAGGATGGCCATCTGTCACTTCTGCTCTGGTAGATGATGTCTACCAGGAATGGGGGCCACATTCACTTACCCAGGTTCAGGAAAGCATTTTCCAGGTCTCCTTTAACCTCTTTCCTGATGCTCTCCAACATGTCGTAAGGGCTGTAGCTCTTGTACCTATCAAATACTGAGGAAAAACAACAAAGAATTATCAGATCAGAGCCACTAGTCAAAGCTGTCAGTGATCACCCACCCAGTTTTATGCACCATGATTTTTTAAAGGATGATCATAGCATCCTAGGATCTTAGAGGTTGCCATGGTGACCAGAGCCAACATTGGTCAACTTTGTCCTGGAGCAGCCATACCATGCACCTGTCCTGAATGGCACTGCCCAGGCCACATATTTGGACCATCTCCATCTCCCCTGAGTGGAACTTATTCCATCCGAAAACCACGGGAAACAGTACAGAGCATGCAGCAAAGTCCACTACTTCAACAAATAATGGCGAGATAAAAGGATCATCAAACAAGAAGGAGCTGCAGAATAAAGCACCAAATGCAGAAACTATTTGCAAGAGCAAAGAATCCAGAATGGGAGAGAAAGGTGAATGTACTTGGTGAGGGAAAAATGGGTGAGCCTATGAGAGTGCCAAGTGGAGAGAGCACCTCATTCTGGCAGACTCCATCCCAACATGGACATCCACCCGGCCGCCCAAGCCAGAGCCCCAAGGCACTGAGACCCCCTCAGCACAGTGCCCACCTTTCTGGAGGTGGGGCACGCTCCGCTCGGTCATGATGCTGATCCACTTGGGAACATCAGTTCCTTTCCTCTTCACTCCAGCGTCATAGAGATCCTACGAGTACAACCAACCAGGAAAAGTTAACTATACAATCCAGTGTAAGGTCATTAAAAATGTCATGCAAAAAAAAAAAGCTATACATTCAAAATGCCAAACGAGGAAGAATGATTATATTGCAGACATGGGCAGAGACCTACTATTTAGGTAAAAAGTCTTAATCACAAGCAGTCTTCCTTAGGCACAGATGGATACCACATGAGACTGCAGATAGTTCGTGAGGTCTGTGCTGTGCAATCTCCTTCCGTGAATGAGAAAGGAGGGACCAAGAGCTTGTATTCATATAAAGAAGGTCAAGTAAATGTTCATGAACACATCTGGCCCTCCTCCCTTTGGGCACATTTAGGGGAAGATAAGCTAGCAGATGTTTACTGGATGGCTACTGTCCAGGCTTCCATTCTCAAGCTTTTCAGAGACTCAAGGAGTGATGGAGCTGGAAAAGGAGCCCATCTCGTCTCATTTTCAGTTTCTGGAAAATTTAGGGGCTACGAGTAGCCCTAACAATGGCAGGAAGGGCAAGAGGAAGAAAGACTTATGCAAGGGTAGATATTCATTCCGTGATCTTCCACCATCTGGGAATTGCAAAACCCAAGTCCTATTACTTTATTTAAAACCCTTCTCTACTACCTGCTAGAAGTGCTGTGTGGAATATATTGAACTGTAAAACTAATGTGAATTTAAATTAATTTTTTTCTGCAGCTTTTATGGCTTACTTTGAGATAACTGTTGACCCTCTAAGTAAGGAATAGAGTTCATAGCAGTCTGAATAAGCTTAACAAATAGTTCTCAGAGATTATGGAACTAGAACTGGCAAAAGTCTTACTCAGCCAGAAAAGGATAGGTCTCTGCTGGCCTCCCTTTCTCCCCACCAACAACGGAGCAGTAAGCCATCCTGTCCCTGGCTGTGTCTTCTCCACCTTCTTCTGCTTCCCACCTGCCTGCCTGATTGGTGTGCACAGCCACATTACACTCTGCAGAAACTGGCGCTTCCACGCAAACAAAGCCTGAATGAGCATATGTGAGTTACAATTGACTCCGTAAGTAATGCCAGCATTATAAAAGAATATCTTCTAATAAACAATGCTCTCAGACTACGGTGGGTTTAAAATACGGCCAGAAATTCTTTGACATTCCTCCCTTCCAAAGGAGGAGCCTAATCCCCTCCCACTAAGTGTGGGCTAGACTCAGTGACTCACTTTTAATGAAAAGAGTATGACAGCGGTGCAAGGTGGGACTCCTGAGATTAGGTCATGAAAGATGCTGTGGCTTCCTCTTTGTGAACTGCTTGCTCTGGGGAAATCTGGCTGCCAAGTTGTGAGGACACTCAAACAACCCGGTGGAGAGGTTTCTGTGGAGCGATTCTAAGGTCTCCCACCAATGGTCATGTGAGTGCACCATCCTGGAAGCAGATTCCCTCGGCCCAGTCAAGCCCTCAGGTGACTGCAGCCCTGCAGCATTTCGTCTGCAACCTCAGAAGAGACCCTGAGCCAGAACCACTGGGCTAAGCCACTCCTCAATTCCTGACACACAGAAACTGAGAAATAATACATGTTTGTTGTTTTAAGCCACAGAGTTTGGGAGTCATTTGTTACAGAGTTAAATTACTATATAGACTATCCAGAGACTTACCAGAAAACAAAAACTCACACCAAAAGCTCAGTACTTACCCGGGCATCTTGGTCAATCAGTTCATAGTCAATGACAGAGCCATCCTCTGCTCTTCTACCCTATGGAAAAAAAAAAAAAAAAAAGAACTTCAAATCCATTTGTTTTTGTATTCTAAAACTGAAAATGTTTTCTCCCCAGTCCATGTAAGCCATTACTTCATTTAATAAGTTAAGTATCCACCTAAGATTTTTCTTACTTTGAAACCTAGACAGGGCCGGGCGTGGTGGCTCATGCCTGTAATCCTAGCATTTTGGGAGGCCAAGGCGGGTGGATCATGAGGTCAGGAGATCGAGACCATCTTGGCTAACACAGTGTAACCCCGTCTCTACTAAATTAGCCGGGCATGGTGGCACATGCCTGTAGTTCCAGCTACTCAGGAGGCTGAGGCAGGAGAAACGCTTGAACCAGGGAGGTGGGGGTTGCAGTGATCCAAGATCGTGCCACTGCACTCCAGCCCTGGTGACAGAGTGAGACTCTGTTTCAAAAAATAAAAAAGAAAAAGAAACCTAGACCAACCAAGGAGTGGTAAAATCCTTGAGGAAGGAAGTGGGGGCTGTGCCTTGCTATCGACAACCCCCTCCTTCGTACCTGGTCCTGGCCTACACACCTTATAGACATCCCTGTCCCCATCCCCCACAAAAAGCTGATGAGATTTAGTTCTTTCCCACAGAGAGCTAGCGATGCAGATGGAGGAATATGCGGACACAAATGTAAAGCGGCCCAGGAACCTACAGCACTAGGAAGACACAAAATGCAGGAGGAGGAAGAACTGTCAGAGAGCAGAGTCAGCAAAGAGGGTGAACAATGGGCCCGGGCTTAAGCTGAAACTTCAAGGGTCAATCAGAGGCAGCTAGCCAAGCGGAGAAGGAGAGCCAGCCGGTACACCAGGGATGGCACAGCACACTCCCAGGTAAGTAAGGAGCTCCCCTGTCAGAGCAGAGTTGAGCAGGAGAGAATCTGAGAAAAGAAGATGCAGGGAGGGTTGAGAGGACCTTTCACAGCAGTTAGGAGTTTAAATTTGATGCAGCAGAAATGGGGTTTGAACAGGGGAGTAAAACGGTGAAAGTGTATTTCACAGAGATCCGTGGATGGCGGTACATGTGGCTGGTGGTAGCGAAGAGAGGAGAAACAGGGAGAATGGCTTAGGAGCTGTTGCATTAATGGAGATGTGAGTGGCCAGATGCACTATCTGTCATTTGTCATCAGGGTTCCCAGGGTCTCTCATCTCTCCCCTGGCACATAAGCATTAAGCTGCACACTGGCCAGAACTAGGGATTCACAGGGGAAGTGCCCCTTCCTCCATGTTAATGTGTTAATATTAGCGATCAGCTCCACAAAGACAACTCCACTCCAGACAAAGGACTATATGGGCAAATTCCTCCATGAGAAGTGAATGCAGGAAAAAGAAACCAGAAGGTTCCTTCCCACTGGGTCCTGCATGACCACAGATAGAGGCAAAGTGACCTTCCCTAAGTCACGCGGCCAAGGCTCTGGCACATAAATCCAGGCCAGGACTTGAGAGCTGCCCATCCCTCCTCTGGCTCCCAAAGTTCACTTGTCCATGAGGTTTTGCAGGATAAGAAATCCTATTATACAAAATTGACAACTCTGCAGTGACAGTGCAAACTCACTTTCGAAAATGCAGCTGAATTTCTGATGCAGGCACAGGGCACTTAGTTAATTCACTCCAAGTATAAAATGAGGTATGTGACATGACTTGGGAGG